ACAAACATCTACCTTCCCCATATGCATGTTATGCAAGGCAACACTCTAACTAATCTCCAAACAGAGCTTCTAACATAGGTATTCATTTTAAAACTTCTCCATGCATCCAAAATGACTACTATAGCAATACAAACAAATTGTGTTTCCTTCAGTCTTCTTAGGTAAATAGAAAAAAATGTTTGACAGTACTGAAACACAGTATGGAAGAGACACTCTCCTTCACCCACCTCCTGAAAGAGACAAAGGTTTCCTACTCAAAGTTAGAAAAACACCAGCTGACCACAAATGTAGCATCATTGAAGAGAGTTACAAAACTATTCCAAAGCCAAACATCCCAAAATCCAACACATTTTCCAAGCAATAAATCTTCTATGAAATTTGACACGCGAATAATAAATACTTAAACTCAGACCTAAAGCATAGCTCAATTTGGCATTATTATTTAAGCAGCTTTGAACGATTTACAGAGCCAAAGATATTAAAAGGAAGAAGATAAAGGAAAACAACATGAAAACTTGCAACAATGAAAGCCTAAATAACCAGAAGAAGATTAGTTATTTATAAAGAAAACAAGAAAAACAACCCCAAAGCAAATCTGATTACAAAGTAACCCATGCATGAAATTAAGGATTATAAAATAAATTTGCTCCTTGTCTTCAATGGGGTGTAAGTTTTCTTTGGGTAAATGGATTAGATTTGTTTTGATTCTAATAGCAATTTCTGGAACTACATTAAGTTTTCATCTGAGAGAATGATCTTCATTTGTACAATTTTTATTGTTTAATGGATCAAAATGTATGAAATTATGGATAGAGGTAAGGTGGTATTTGCTAATAATTAAAAAGATCTCAATGTAATTGATCTACTTTCTATTCAACCTTTTAGATTAATTTTTATATCTTTAGTTTAAATATTATACATATCTTAAGTCCATAGAGTTCACAAGTGATCCAATTAAATAACCAAAAACAAAGCAATCAAGTTTGATTCCCCTGTTTATGTCAGTTCAATTCAACTTAAAACTACCAACATAGAAACCAAAAAAAAAAAAAAAGAAAAAAAAGAAAAGAAAAGGAGCAACCCAAAAAGCCTAATAAAAATGGTCAAAAGATTCATCTCATTCTCTCAATTTTATATGACCAACCAATAACTATGTATCATAAATTTTTGGCGAATTGGAGTTACTCTCAAATGAGTTTTCATCTAAAGTGGTTCTGGTGTGGAGTTTGATATCTATATGTTTTGAATTTGGATTTGGGTTTGGGTTGTTGTCTTTGGTGTGAATTTTTTGTTTTGTTGTTGTGAGTAGCAGTGTAGTGCCTCAAGCTTAAAAGGAAATCCAGCTTCAAATCATGAATCATAAGCCTACTAAATAATTTGGAATCACAAATTCCTGAAGAAATCATAAATTCGAACTCACTTTGGGTTTTAAAATAATTTGGTATCGGCTAGCACTAGCACTAGCCGGGTCATGTAAAATTCTTTTTGGTGTCATCTCACCCAGATATGCCGCATGTGAGCTGACTGGAGTTCCAAAAACATGTGCCAGCTGCTGTGGCTTCATATTCGATGAATTGCTATTGCTCTGCTGAATGTTGTGAGATTGTCAGATGCTTAGAGTGATGATATTTCTAACCATGGATTCAGCAAATGTATTTATAGGGGGGAGAAAGGTAAATAAGTTGGTGGATCTTAAAGTTTAGTTGGAGGATGAGTCATGTATGCCTCATCCACATGAATAAAAAGCACACAATTCAGGGCTTTCTATAAAGAAAGATTGATGTTGGGTAGGTGATGTGTCTGGTTTCTTTTACAAAGAGATTTGCAATAAGCTCCAAATCTTCTTTTTTTCGAGATGGTTTTTACATTTAATGGTTTCTCAAAAGTTCCTTTAAAACTTACCAAGCAATGGTTCAATCTTTTTTGATTTCTGAAGTAACTCTTAAACCTTCTGTTTTTTGGAAAAGAAAAATCTTACAAAGAATTGGGAAATCATACTCTTTGTGAAATTGGTCACTAAAACTAAAATAATCTAATTAGTTGGAGCAGCATTTCAACCATTCAATCCCAGAAAAGCAAGAAACATTGTCTGCTTAGGTTTTGCTGATTGTGTGTGAAAGTGTGAATTAAGCTTTTTGAGCTAATATTTTAGTGCTACAACAAAAAGCAAAGGCTAAACACACCAAACTTGTCAAGTGAACCAAAATTGTGGTCCCACAAGACAAACATCTACCTTCCCTACATGCATGTTATGCAAGACAACACTCCAACTAATCTCCAAACAGAGCTTCTAACATAGGTATTCATTTTAAAACTTCTCCATGCATCCAAAATGACTACTATAGCAATACAAACAAATTGTGTTTCCTTCAGTCTTCTTAGGTAAATAGAAAAAAATGTTTGACAGTACTGAAACACAGTATGGAAGAGACACTCTCCTTCACCCACCTCCTGAAAGAGACAAAGGTTTCCTACTCAAAGTTAGAAAAACACCAGCTGACCACAAATGTAGCATCATTGAAGAGAGTTACAAAACTATTCCAAAGCCAAACATCCCAAAATCCAACACATTTTCCAAGCAATAAATCTTCTATGAAATTTGACACGCGAATAATAAATACTTAAACTCAGTAAATTTTCAAATTTGAAAATTAAGTACCTATAATTTGCTGGATTGGAAATTTTTAGTACTTCACATGCCCTATCCTTAGAAACCACAATTATGGATAAAACTTTGAACTCTCAAACCCAAATATGCCCACACAAGTAAAAGAAAGAAAGGCAAAAAATTTTACCACGCAAAATTAAAAATATTGTACATCAAAAAAGCCAAGGATGTATCTATGCACATTATACATAATTACTCTAACACAGAGTACTTCTTCTGCTTCTTACCTTTTGTAAACAAATTCTCGCTGTACATATCTACTATAATGTATGAATTTTGTTCCTTTCAATTGTTAAAAAAAAAAATTATTACTATGAATTTCAATATAGAGATTCTATACAGCTTATTTTATACCATAAAAAGACAACTCAATCAAATTGATTGAATTTTTCTTCAAACAATTAACATTCTGCCCCCAGTACCACGACCCCCACACAGTAATTTAGAAAAATTAGCGAGAGTTTCTTAGAAAAACTGAAGAAAATGAACCAACTTATTGAAATTGATTGAAATTTTAATTTTCAGTCATTTTTTCATAATATACGAGCTGTTTTAGTTTTGAAAATTTGAATACTAATGCAAACTGAATTGATCGAAAATTATATTTAAATACTTTTATATTTTCATTTTTTGAGCATTGTATGAGAAGAAGTGACTAATATAATATATGTTTGTGATGAAAACTAGTGAAACATTTATAAAGCAACTTTCATACATTTTCTTCATTTATTTTTAATGTAAAATTCTATAAACTTTTATAAAATCCTTTAAAACATCAAGTAAATCCCTCTTCTACATCAAACCCACATATTGATAAAATTAAACAATAGTATATGGTCTATATCAGTTTTTCAATCATCAAAACCAAAAAGATCGATTTGATATTAAGTCCTCGTTTGGTTTTTTCGGTAAAATTGGTCAGTCTCACAGGACACACAAAATTCACATGGGATTATTTACATAATCTGACACAATATAGAAACATTTTATCAACACTAGGTGTGTTGACTGTCAATTGCAATGCAAAGAATTTGAATGGACCATTACAAAGCATAGACTTTGAAATGAACTTGTTCAACATCAGATGAAATAAAGCAATTTTAGATTACCATTGACAGGCTATCTCTACTTTCTGCATCTTTTTGGCTGCCAAGAGAATGAGGGGAAAAAATCTAAAATTCCAAAATTTGTATTCTCCATTAGTTGACTTATTTGATTCATTTCCTCTCCTGCAGCCATGTGCCATCAGCTAATATTCATTTATTTGATTTGATTTCAATTCTTTACTCGGACATTGAACCATGTAGTCATGTTGACATTCAGTGTTACCACAGTAGCTGAAAAACACGTACTCCTTATTGGATAAAAAATTCAGTAAAACTCTCTTAATTCATCACATTCATATGAATGCTAAAGCAAACTCAAAATGTCTTACCAGCAGACCACATTGTGCAAGAGCTGTGGTAATGGGGCGCCTCCATGCTCGACGAATATCACACAAGACAATGTTCTGGTTTGGTGTGATACGCACATTCAAGTTATACTTCTCAATAGTTTCCCTCAATGTCTTCTTCATCACACCCTTAATACGACCATTATCAACATGGAGCCCACAAAATAAACCACCATCACCCTGCCAAAGAAGATTTTAAATGATCATAAATAAAGAGGAAAGAAAAGTCTAGTCATTTTTCAGTAGGTGAGAGAAAAGAATAGTCAAGAGGATAGATCATGAGTAACGGAACAAACATATAGGAGCTAATCCTGAACAGAGGAAGGCAAAAAGAAAATCCATACAAACAATCACGTGATGAACATCACAAAGTTAAGGAAACATGATAGAAGTTAGATTATTTGCTTCGTCTCTATAGTTCCCTAATTTATCTAGCTATGAGGGGCAACATATGAAAGTAAAAAGTGATTGGTTTGACCGGACATGTATTCTGGAACAAAAAAATAAATAAAAAATTGTAAGGAAGACATCCAATTATAAACAGAGGACTATTAATTATACAACTTATTCACGGGAGCATTAATTATATGCCTCAATAAAAAAAACCAACTTGCTCATGCCATCCCAAATAACTCTTAAATTCCCACTCAGGTAATTCACGGCAAGGCTCAAACTTCTTTCCGTAATACTGTTCAGCAACAGTTCTAAACTTCTCAATCCCCCATGAGCTGATCAAGTATTTCATTCTACTATACTTGCGGTCATCCCTTCTCCCATTTTCTCGTTGTGTAACAACAATAGCTTTCACAGCATACAATATATCCTCCTTTGGTACATATCCCAATGGCTCTGCCAGACGGGCGAATGTAGTTTCCAGTCTGTGCGTTCTTCCCATACCACCACCAACCTGCAACAGAAAGGATAAACTACTTAAAATCTATATCCCTAAGACATTAGAAGAAAAGAAGTGTAAAGAAATAAAGAAAATAAATTGATAACCTGTAATCACTTTTTATCTTTTTTATTAAAAATCTTGCTTCTCAAACAAAACATTAGGATAAATTTAAACCACATTATTTTTCTTAGTCATGTTGCATCTGAATTCATGGTTCATAACCTTAGTGAAAGAACAAAGTTCGGAATAGCGTCGTCAAGTAATAAAACAATTGTGAAAAAGTTTTTCTTAATTTTATCTATAATGACATCACATGTTATGTATAAATTTTTTATTTGTCAAAAAATTAATTATATAAAATTAAGAAGGGATTTACGTGTACTGTTCAATAGGTCTTAATGATAATTAATAATATTTTTTATCAAATACTATTAAAAAAATTTCACTAATTGTAATTTGCAATAACAGTTTGAAAATTTTGTCACAAAAAATGTTACTAATTATAAGTTTTAGCGACAATTTTAAAAAAAATCGTCACAAAAAAAGGTCACCAATTTTTAATTTTTAGTGACAATTTAAAAAATTCATTACAAAAAAATGTCACTAATTATAATTTATCCTAAAAAGGGAACTTTCATGTCACATCAATTGGGTGAATTTGAAATTTTAAATTGAATAATATTAAAGACATATACGTTTGACTCACAAATTTATCAGCAAAAAAATTGGATCCTCAATTATAAGGTGTGTAACAAATTAAAAATTGACATCTATTATCGCATATCATTATAAGTAAAATTGTGAGATTTAAAAATATTTTTTTTCAAATATTTTTCTTTTAAATACATTTAAGGAAAAAAAAAAAAGGAAAAAAAACTTTTTAAAAATAAAAAAAAAAATGAAAAAAGTTCAAAAAAAATAAAAAAAAAATATACAAAAAACAAGAAGCCAAAAAATAAAATTTACAAGTAAACTCATACACCAATGATACATGTATGTGTATATATATAATTAGCTTTCTATTTTTAACAAAAAATAAAAATTCAAAAATTCCCATATATGTAATTGAAGGGGAATTTTTTCATAGAATTCATAATATGGTTTTATGCAGATTGTCACCCGAATCGGAAAAATTATTATTGTATTAAAGTTTTTTTTTTTTTTTTTTACCAGCCCACGTATTGTGGGAAATCCATGGACTTTAAAAAAGTGGTAAAGATCTCTGGTAAATTACACTAAATTATTAGGTGCTTTTATCATTGTATATATTAGAGGCTGGGCACACATGATGCATGTGTCACTTGGAAAAAGTCATCAAAATAATGTTGTGAGAAAGATATAGGAAATAAAATTAGAATTAGAGAACAACATTAACAATAATTTCAATCAAACTGAAAATATTTACAAATATTTTAAAAAGCAGTCTAATATTTTACAAAATATATAACCATATTAAAAAAATGATATATGATGAATCCATAGAAAATGTAACTTTGGTGGCATGAGCTTGAGAATGTAATTGCAAATCCTGCAATAAAATATATAACAATTTGAACAAATTAGTATTATTTAATTTATTGAACAAAGATTTGAATAAGAATTTACGCCATTCAAATGAAAAAGCTATAAAGAGACTAACTTTAGTTTTTTGTTACTATAATTGACATGATTGATTGTGTTATATACGAAGACAATGAATGTAGATATACATTGAATTTTTTTTTTAATGAAGATTAAAAATTAATAACTTACATTTTGATATGGAGTCATGTGGTCCAAAATTAGATGTCCGGTTCAATAATTTATTCAAATTATTTTGATGCAACTTTTGACATAGATCTGTGAGAATATTAAGCTACATATAATAAGTTGGAGTTGACAAAAATTCAAGTACGGAATTTTTTTGTGTGTGTGAAATTGTAATTAGGTTATCTTGTAACAGTCTTACACATATCTTCGTAAGTTTTCAACATTTGTACCTTTTGTTACATGTAAAACTGTGAAATTTTAATTATCTTCACCATTATCTTATTTAACAGCGATCAAAATTAATTGACAATTACTATTGAAAACCAAAAATTAGACCCAATTTCCAAACCAAGTGATGTGGCAATTAATTAGGATATTAAAGATAACACTCTCTCTATAGCGACTCCGGTTTAGACCTGATCCATTTGTTATTTTGGACTCGGGTTTCATAGTTTCGTATTGTTGTTCATGTCTTATTTCCCTTAATACCTTATTGAGTTTGGCTAGTGGGTTGTATTGTTGCATTTGGAATAGGTTGGTAGCTTGGTTTTCAAACTTTTGTTGCTCAAAATTTTACTTCTCCGCTCGAACGTCACTTCTTGTGCTTGAGCGAGCTTTCTGAATTCTTAGTACTTTTGCAGGTTTGCAAAACTACTGGAAAGTGTTATTCTACGCTCGAGCGAAACTTCTTGCGCTCGAGCGGTCTTGGCTTGAGTGGCCTTTATGGCGATCGAGCGTTGGCCTTCCATCTGTAAAACTACTGAGAGTGTGTATTCTACGCTCGAGCATCACTTCCTGCGCTTGAGCGGTGACCCCTTTTTAATTGTGTCTTGATGCTCGAGCGTCACTTTCTACGCTCGAGCGGTAATGATTTTTGTGTCTAGACACTCAAGCGTCACTTCTAGCGCTCGAACGGATTGTGCGTATATCAGTCCATAAAAGTCACTTTTTATATCACTTTTTCGTCTCTCTGTCTAAACATTTCAAAAACCTAAATCTAGAGCTTCTCCCTCAAGAACTTATTCTCTCTCTACAAATATACCAAGATCTACCCATTTCTCCACCCTTCTCCCTTTGTAAAAGAGGTAGAGCTCACCTAGAGCTTCGTTTTCATCCAAATAGAGTTGGATTCGGCTTCCTTCAGATTTCTCCACTCTCTCCTTGGTCTTCTAGCTTTGAGGTAGGGATTCTCTACACTCTTGTATGCTTTTTAACTTAACTATTAGTTTTTATAAAACAATATTATGATTTTGGAGGATTTTGAACAAATCTAGGGTTTCAGTTTAAAATTAAAAGAGGGATTTTCAAATGGATGTATGGAAAATGGTTACAAGAGTGGAAATGAGGGTGAGTTGTGACTAAAGTATTGATTTCATACTTGAAATGGATTTTGGAAGAAAAAAGGATTTTGCCCTAAACGCCTTAAGTAATTATTTGTATAAATAAATGGAATTGATGTTGGAAATATAAAATTGGATGGATATTGGTTTGGATGGTGGAGTTGGATATGCATTATTGCTCACATCTTAAATTTTGGAAAGTTTATCTGTACTAGAGATTGTATATCTGTTTAGAAATATCTGTTTTGGGCTATCAGTGGAGAATAACTATGATTGTTGTGAAAATTGCATGAGGATTAGGTGAATTGAAATTAATTTCTCATCCATGTGCATTGAACATTGTTGCTTATTTGATACATTACAAATGTATATGATTTTGAGAAAAATGGGTGAATGTTGGAAAATGTGTGTATTACCAAATTAAATTGGCCTGTGTGTTCAGGGTGAAAGTCCCAAAAAACAAGCATATACATGGATGCCGATTCCCGCAGATGAAATATCTGTAAAATGGTAATAGTAGTACTTGTATAGGCTATGTAACAACCCCGACCCTTAATGAACGTTAATTCATGCTTAAGTGTGCCTAACAAGTGATTAAGAAGAAATCATGAGTTAATGTCATGTGTATTGCATTATTGATGTGTCTCTATCTATCTAGCATAGAAAGATCTGTTCGGGTTTTGATTTATGTTTTGCGAATTGAAAGCCCTATCGGTGACCGATTCAGAAAATTGACTTGTGTTATGTGTTAATTAGGATATATGGAATTTTATGGTAGGTTTAATTAAAATTTGATTTGGAACAATTAAATTAGAATAAATGATATTGAATTACTTTAGCTAGAGTTATTTACACTCTTGCCATTGAGTAGGCTCTCTCAAGTCCATGTCTCTTATGCCTATTGCATGTTGGTCACCATTATGTTCTTTTCCCTTGGTCATAAACGTGGGGAGAGAGAGAGAGAGAGAAAGAGTTGGAAGAAACTTTGTTCAACAAGAGAATTTGCTCGAGACTTAGGGGAAATTGAAGGAGAATTTCGTGATTGAGCTACCACACTTGGAATTCAAGATTTAAGGTAGGAAAATCACCCTCTTGGTTGTGAATTTAAGTTGTTCATTGCATGGTTCATGGAAAATGAGAGGCTAAGTCAAGAAATAGCCTAAAAGAGTAGATTTGAGAGTTAACCCACCCATGCATGTACATATCTTTGAACTTTGAGGTTGTTTTCATGAAATTCTTACATGCATGGTCATATCATGGTTATACTTTAGAACCTCATCATGATTTTAAGTTGAATCTTGCATTTGAGAACTCATGCATGTTATGTTTTTAAATTGTTCATAAAACTTACATTGCAATTGTGGTCAATTGGTATACTTTTGGGCTTTGATTTTATGAAATGACCTTCAAAACATGTTATATTATGAGTTTCTAAGTGTTTTGTGGGGTTTCGGCCCAGAAAAATCAAGTTTGAAGCTTTTAAGGTTGAGTTTTGTGCTTGAAGATCAATCTAGAAATTTCAGAAATTTGATCCACGCTCGAGCGGGGAAATTCACGCTCGATGTGCACTCTGAGTACATGCACTTCCGCTCGAGCGACGAGAGTCACTCTCGAGCGTGAAATGCATATACCCAGAAGTTCTTGTGTTTTACATCCGCTCGAGTGAGAGAATTCACGCTCGAGCGTAGGTCTGAGTCTCAGGCTCGAGCGTGGATCAAGCGTTCGTCGAGCGTGAAATTCATGCATCCAGTACTTTTGTCAAGTTTGCAGTTCGCTCGAGCGAGGAAACTTTTTCTCGAGCGAGGCTTCATGTCTTGCATGTCCGCTCGAGCCGGGAAGGCCACGCTCGAGCTGGGACCCAATTTTTAGCAAAATTTGAGAAATGTTTTCAAGTGCATGACTGCATCCTCTTTCCACCCCAGGCATTCCTAGGCCATGATTAAAACTCTGTAATGAGGTTATTGGCTGAACACACACACTAAGAGCGAATGAAGTAAGTTATGTATAACTCGAGCGTGTGTTTCAAGTGGGTAATTGTATGTGTGCTCGTGTAGGCCACACGCCTCAGGATAAGTGAAGTGCCATTTTGTCATCTAGTTGGGACGACCAATTGTTGTGAGTAATAACTCTGTAAAGTTATGTTTAACTTTAATTATTTTTTAATGATATGAAATGGCAAGTTCCCTGAAATGCTATGTTTTGCATGAATGTATGATTGTCAAATTTTCTTTGAACGTAATTGTGGTATCCTTAGCAGTGGCCCTCGCCCATGGGACATAATACTGTGGCACATGGTCATGAGGCCCTCGTTCGGGGGTTGATATTGTGGCACAGGCCCTCGCCCGGGGGAAACAATACAGTGGCCTATGCATGAGATATGTTACCTAGTACCGGAGGTTCCTTCATGGAACTTGATAAGCGTGACCTAAGAAACATGTTTGTGCTAAGGGATATACCACACATGATTTGAATATGGGCATAATTATCATTCTGTTCTGTTATGAGATTTGAAATACGTTATGGGCATCATTCATTAAAATCTTTACTCTGTTATTATTCACTGGGCTTTAGCTCACTTTTTATATTATGTATGTAGGTGAGCAAGCTCGAGACCAGGGCCAGAGTTGACGGCCTTCGTTTCGGTTTTTGTCAGCCAACCTTTGCGCCTCCCGAGGAGGTTTCGGGCGAAGTCTTGTTTGTGGCTGTTTTTGTAATCATCATAAACTCTATTTGTTTTGTTAAGTTGGGTTGGTTTTCCTATATTACCCTTATGGGAGGAATATGTAAATATACTGCATCTTTTGGTCGTCACTCTTATGTTCATGCAAGTTTTAAATTATTCTGTCCCATGCATGTCATCACAGCTCATTGGACCATTTATATTTTGTATATTCGCTTCCGCAGCCCCTAATTATATGCTAATCTGTCAAGAGGCCTTGGGTAATCCAAGGATTACTGGCCGGTTACGATGCTAAACCTACAGGGGCGGGTTTGGGTCGTGACAAAGTAGTATTAGAGCACGTGTTCTACCGCACATACAAGTCCATATGAGCTTAGGATGTCCTAGTAAGAATTAGGGACATTCCATATACATATGTGAGTGCGTGGTAATTTAAATGGATGAGTGATCAGAATGTGAATCTAGGTAATTGAATTGAAAGAAGCAAATGAAAATATTCCTATGTTTATTATCAACTTGTGTCTTTATAGCAAGATGGAGAATGCGAAGGGAAATGATGTAAGTGAGTCTTCAGAGGCTCGCATGAGCCGAATGGAACAAATGCTTGTAGCATTAATGGAAGTTATGACACTACAACAAAGACAACATCCTTTACCTCCTCCGCCTCCACCAGTGCTAGCTGAACAGGACAACAATGACATCATCAACTTGACTCAGAAATTTATGAAAATGAAGCCGCCGACCTTCTTGGGTGGCATCAAACCATTGAAGGCAGAAACTTGGCTATTAGAAATGGAAAAGCTATTTGAAGTGTTTCCTTGCTCTGCAACTCAGAAAGTTCTTTTAGCCACTTATACTTTGAAGGATGAAGCCCAGAGATGGTGGCTGTTGATTCGAAATAACAACGGGGACATGACATGGGCACAATTCAACGAGATATTTTACAACAAGTACTTTCCCCAATGTTTCAGGGACCAAAAAGTTTTGGAATTCCAAGAACTCAAACAAGACAGAATGTCGGTGGCCGAGTATGAAGCTAAGTTTACTGAACTACCTCGTTTTGCTCCACACATGGTGGACACGGATTATAAGAAAGCACGAAAGTTTGAGAGAGGACTGGACCTGGAGATATTTGATCAAATGGGAGTCCTGAAACTGCCTACTTATGTGGAGGTGCTTGACAGAGCATTAATGGCAGAAGCGACAATAGCAGCAAAGAAACAAACTACAAATCCACCAACTGAATGGAAAGGCAAGAGGACCGGGTTTAATTTTAGACAGGCCCGATCATTTTCGAAGAAGCGAAACACGGGATTCTCCAGCAATTCTAGCCAGAGTAGTGGGTCTATACCGATTTGTGCAGATTGTGGCAGGAGACGTATGAGCGTATGCCATCGTGTGTCAG